ACAGGTGTTTGCCATCGGGGTTGGGTTTTCGTCGCTTAGCAACGACGTTGTAAAACAAGCAAGCCCCTCGGTGATTGCCATCGAGTTTGGGGTTTCGTCGCTTGGGAACGACGTTGCAAAACAAGCCTCACTTCGTGAGCTCGGCAACTAGGTTGTAGGCAGGTAGATGCGGCATGACCGCCACCTTCTTCGACACATTTACAGGGCAAACTGGCAATATCCGAGACCGCTTCGACCCCTGTTCATAGATTGGTTGTGATTCCCTTCGTGACCTTTTGCGCCTCGACCAGCACAGAACGTAATTTTCATACATACCTGGACGGCCACGGTCCATCGTACGTACGTAGTATTTTGTGTAGAATTCTACCGAAGCCGGCGATCAACTATTTAGCACAAAAAAGCAAAAAAAGCAATAAAAAAATCCTCGTCGTTGAACACAACTATTAGAAGATTCCCTTCTTCAACCCCTTCATGAGTTCGTACAGAGCACCAACAGCGAGCAGCTCGTGAAATAGTCTGTATTTTGTGGATACAAGAAGACTGCGTAGCGACGCGGGTGAGAATCGCTCACCTTTCGATGCAGCGTTTGGCTACTCTTCTTGTGGGCGGGAGTTCGCTGAGCAGCCTATTATTGTTGGCGGAGGTCCACAGCCTCTACGCGTCCCTCCTCCGCCGAGTTGATGGAAGCAAACCAAGAACACTGCACGACAGCTACAGCCGACGTGCTGCTACTTTCACCATCAAGTCGGCAGCACCGCCAGCAGCAGCACTTCACAGCATCAGCAGTAGCAGGTAAACATTTTGTCGGTGATGCTTTTACTTTGGCTATCGGCATTGAAAAAGTTGGCTACAGCAGGGTTGTCTCATGATCCTAGTAATGCTGGTTGTATTGAATAAGCTCTGAGGTATCGCCTTTCCTCACGGCCTACGCCCGTCACTTTCTTTCGTTCCTTGGATCGACGGAGAGATAGAGACAGTATATGCACGGAGAGGCGGAGAGACGGGCGTGTATGCAGCACGTGGGGTGGCTTGGGAGGTCGGTGGGTGGCCTGTACTGCTGTCTTTTCCTGTCTTCTTTGTGTCTTTTCCGCACGCGGGACTGTGCATTGATTCCACGGAGCTCCTGCGGGTACCCTCTCAACAGCCGTCCACCCCCCGAACCGCAGTGCAGCCATAGTTGTACTGCTGTTGTAGCTGTGCAAAGGGCATACGCTCCCTGCCGCCTAGGTGGTCTCTCTCTCACTCTCTCTCTCTCTCTCTCTTTCTCTCCCCCCCCCTTCCCCTTTCCATCTGTCTTTCTCCCACTCTCTGGGAACTTTGGAGAGGGCGAGTGGGGTTGATCTTATCCTATTTTCGCCGTAACTTCCCGAAAGCGGGGAGACCACCGAGAAAAAGCCCGCATTGGAGGGCATCAAAGCTACCAACAGGGGAGCACGCCCGCTTCGCCATGACTCGTTGGGGAGTCCCGAAGGGCGTGATGCGCGCCCTACCGAAGCGTGGCAAGTTGGGGAAGAGCGACGGAGGAGGTGAGGGGACAGTCATGCAGAATGATGAGACATTACCGCACGGTGTGCTTCTTGGACAAGACTTGAGCAGACACAGCAGTTGTCGCTGCACCTTGTCCGCCAAACTGCTCCCGCTTGGTGGCCCCCGTTAATCACGTGGGAGCTATCGCTCTATGTTATGCGAGGATCAGTAGAAAAACAGGCAGGTCCCTCAACCCTACCATGTAAGTATGAATCACGAGTGACAACATTCTGGAAGTTGGTCATCTACGCACAGGGACTGATTTGATTTTTTGCGGCAAGAAAAAAAAAAAGTGGGACAAGCTTGAGCGGGAGGCAACAAGTTCAACGCAGACGGAGAGGAATGTGCTTGTTGCGTGTGTCTTCCGTGCGTTCATCCCTTACAGCCTCGCGTAATGTTTCTGTACCCGTCCCCCGTTTCTCCCCTCTAGTGGGTCTGACAGTTCCGGGCGTCGAGCGACTCACGAAAGAGCTCGCTCAGGAGTCGGGAAGGGTCCCGCCCGAAGCTCGAGCTGACCTCGCGCTGATCCAGGTACACCTCACGCGTAAGACCGTCCCCGACGAAGACGCGGAGCAAACGCTTCTCAAGTGGCTCGAGGAAAGGGGTTTCCATGATGTGCTGGCTCTGAGGGCCGACGCCAGTTTCGAGGTGCGTCTATTTGTGTGCATATGTGGGTGTTTTTATTGTTGGCATCGATCGCGCTAAACGGCTCACCGATGAAAAGACGTCAGTCTCAGTGCGGTTGAAAACACAACACACTTCTAAATGCCAGGATGTATTTGGGGTGAAAGTTAGCGTCGCTGTTTTTGTGTTGCCTGATGACGGCGAGGCGTAACCAGCGCGGAACAATGGAGAGTGAGCTGTCGCAGCATCGCAGCATCGATTTCAGCAGCGGTCAAATGCCTAAGAGCTTCCTCAACGTGTTCGCATCTGGCTATCGAGAGCTGTTCCCGTGATTGGGAGGGGCGGGGGCGGGGGGGGGGG